AGGAATAAATTTTCATTTAATAATGATATTAAGTTTTAATGAATTTTTAGAAAATACATGAGTTTTTAAAATTGTCTTATAATATTCATGACAAGAAAAAATAAGTGTGTGAAGTAATTAACTTGTAATATACTATTATATAATTAATCTTATATAATAGTATCTTTGGCTATACCCATATCTTTAAAAGTATGCAAACTCATGATAATTTTTTATTTAAAAGAATTTTTCAAACATATGTATGTATATATATGCATTCCAAATTCATGCGAATAGTTAGATAAATAGCTATATATTAACAAAATCTATTATTTAAGTGATAGTACATATTTTTCTCATTAAGACATTGTATACAATTACAAAAACAGAGTATTTGGTAATTCAGTTTCACTATCTTAACATTTCATTCTTTGTAAATATTAAAGATTGATACAAAACATGGATAAAATTAATTTGATCCTATTCAGAACACTCATTTAAAGCCTACTTCATACAAATAGGTAAAATTATAGTTATGTGTCATTATATGTAAATTAATTTTACATGATTAAATATTGCAATTAATATGATTAAATAATATAATTTCAATATGATTATGACAATCTTACTGCTTTAATTATTATTTCTCACCTGATTAGGCACAGCATAATTTACCTTAAAATATGTATTTGTAACACAGAAGAATTAAAAAGATTCTTAGAATTGAAGAAACAAAAATAGACAAGCATATAATGATATTTTCCTGAAATTATACATTTATTTGTTAATTATGAGGTTTTGAGCAGTTAAGTACAAATAGTACTATTGCCAATAAATAATGTTTCATGGAAATTCAGCCACTTAATAACCCTTAGCATTCTGAGTACAGTAAAATGATTTATTTTTCTTACAAGTTTATCTAAAATATACAATGGATTACCAATTTTTAATAACTAACAATCATATAATAATATAATTAATAATAAAAAATTTTTTTAAGTGGTTACTTTTGATGTCACTTCAGAATGATTAGAAAATTTAAAAAATAATAGGTATATCCTTTCTTAAAATATAAGTTATCTTGCCATATCGTGCTTTAGTCTATACTGTTATTATGCCTTATACTTACTGAAGTAATAAATATTTATCAAATAAGTAACACCAAGAGAAGCATATTTTATCTTAAAAACCATTTAACACACTACAAAATATTAAAATCATAAAACAAACTTCAACTAACAAATTGACCTAACTAAAACTGCATATAAGCCTGTGTACTAGTAAAAACTGAACAGTATACTTATCATTTGGGAATTCATGTGAAAACCTTGTACAAGCTGTAAATAATAAAAAAATTAGGCATGCTACTCTTGTAAATAAAAATGCACCCTCTTGCAATAACAGTTACACAGTACGTATAAGCACGAACATAATGATTGATGATTAGAAGATTAAATAATAAAAGTATTCCATTGAAATTGTCATTATTTTTCTTTTAAATCTTTATATACAGGCATTCAAATTTCATCTATTTCACGTTTTGTATGCAAGTTTCACAATTTTTACCAACTGTCATTATTCCGCCACTAAAGGAGAGGCACTTTTGGTAATATCCTAATTTTCAAAGCTAGTGAACCGGATAAGCTGATCTCTCCCCTTTAGCATTCATAAATGTTTTGCTCATGATTGGACATGGTAATTAAAACACAATGGGCACCAATGAATAGTACCTCACTAACTGTCCTACTTTGGCTCTTATATTTAGTAAGATAATGCAACACTTAATACGCACCATACAAAATTGTTAAACATCTAGGTATCCAAAATCCATAGGTTAAATGAACTATTTCTATTAGCTGCTAAAAAAACATATATAATGCAGTATATGCTAATCCACATGGAATTCCACACACAACTTAATAATACAATATATATCTCCTTTTATGAGGATGTAAACAAAAACCATATACATATAGGGTAAAATACTCACCATTATACTTACTAATACACCTATATTATCAGATTCCGAAAAAACTCCACATCAAGAAAGTTGTTTGTGGAAATCAAAAGATGCGGCTTAAAAGGGGCAATAGAAAGAAAGACTTGATATCAAAATAATAAACAAGTTCCCTCACTAAAGCCCCACTGAGCCATCGTGCATCATAGATTTAGATTATCCTTAAACTGCACACCTCTCCACAGTTAAAGGTAATGCTTGCACAACCTCTGCTTAAGAAATTTTACAGTACTTACATACATTCTGGTATTTCATCAATTATTGATGGGAAATATATATAATCATAAAATAATCTTAACTTTACTGGAATTTTGCATAAGTAAATTCAGTTAAAAATATGTTGCTAAATAAATCAATTAGTAAAAACTACACCAATTATAAAACAATGAATGTATCAGATAACATTTGAAAGACTTAATACGGTGCTCTTTTACAGATAACATTTGAAAGATATAATACGGTGCTCTTTTACAGATAACATTTGAAAGATTTAATACGGTGCTCTTTTATATTAACTTAGTTAAATTTAATTCGATGTGATATACAAGTCTACAGTTACCACATTACTGCGTAAGCTCAATCACAGTAGTCAATTTTTTTAATCATAAAAAAACAATTGGGATTATAAACACAATACGTCTAAAAATTTTAATAAATTCATCTTAATAAGCATCATAATTTAAGAGTCTACATACGGTTATATAATCTTAAAGAA